CAAAGTTTACTTCAATTTCGGTTTCATTACCGTCTCCTGCAAATTATCAAGAGATTAATTTCATAAACGAGACCAATGTCTAGAGAAACCAGTTGTTAAAGAATAACTAACGATCGAATCGCTTCTTCCGTGGTAATATGAAGAGGTTGCGCTCAATATTCTTTACTGTTACACAACAACTAATAAACGTGTTGGTTGATTTATCCTGAACCTGAAATTGATAGATTTACAAGATATTAATTTGCTGATACATTAAATTTTCAGTATAAACGCTGTCATCTACCTTTCCAAAGATATATAGTAGGCCAGAAATTTCTTGCGCATCAATCCAATAAAATTTGATGGTATCGGATTGGCTCAGGATGTCCGGGTTGACATCCTGAACGTATTCATCAACATCCTGATCTTGGATGAATACATGTTGATCAGGGATGTATGCATCTTGATCCTTGATGACATCCTGAACGTATTCATCAACATCCTGATCTTGGATGAATACATGTTGATCAGGAATGTATGCATCTTGATCCTTGATGTATACCTCAACAGGTTGTTCCGGCGTAGCCTCCATGCCATCCAGATTTGTTAACAAATTGACCATAAACATGTCATCCTCGGTAGTTCTATCTTGTTGTTTATTCGATTTATTCGCGGCGTTTGCGAAGAAAGTTTCTAATTTCTTGTTTGGTGGAGATTTAACTACCTTCCTCGTTTTTTTTCTTCTCTTGCCTGCCTCAGAGAATCAGCGTAAGAATTATTGCAAATGTGAGTATCGATGGATTATTCATGCTTACGGATACTAATACCTTTTTGCTCTGCGTCTTCATCAGACGATTCAAGATACGGCTCTCCAAAATCATCTTGTCCGTGATCTACGTAGCCAGAGCCGTCATCGTCAACCACAAATTCATCTTCAAATTCACGATCTCGAAATTTGGCATGATATTCAGCTTCATCGACTTCATCATAAATGTCGTCGTCTTGTACCTGTTTTTAAATTTCGTGAAACGTTCAGTTCCTATAATCTTGATCTCCTTGGCATTCACCACTTCATACCACCTCATATTTATGTAAGCGAGAATTGCCCCCCGCACTTCGTAGTTCACGGAAGGTAGCAAATTTGTCTTTGGTTCTGTATTCACGTCGACCAGTAGGCGACATCTTGAGTAATAGTTTCTGCAATCTTCGTTATAGCAGAAATAACGTATGCAGCATACGAATATCGTACGCGCAACGAAAATCATACGCGTAGACGATTAGAATATTAACACGTGATATAATGCACCGTGGTACAAATACAAGAACAAAATTGTATCGTTTGACATGGTACTGATTTTATCGTACGATTTTAAAACCTCTATTTCTCTTTGAAAGCATGGTTTCTCAATTACCTTACGATCTTTATGCTGATAATCTTGAAGACAATAATAAATAAAGACGCTAATTCAGCATCAAGATTGACAAACGTGTACGTACCAAATTGATAAACTGTAGAGACTCTTATCAGGCAAATCCAAAATTTAAAACACTGTATTGCGTATAATGCATATTGGTGTGAATATATTTATACTAAACAGTTATAAGTAAACTTAGTAAAAACCCATTACTCAAAAACCCGTGTGTATTAGAAAGAATAATCTGTTCTATACATCGACACAACAAGACATATACAGTCACATTTCTGGAAATTGGTTGTTGTAGCATTTGCACAAGTCGACGACCAATGTTAGCTCAATATCTGCAAAGCTCATTATCATTGTTCAGGAATATTTGATGTTCATTACCATGCAGCTGACTTGGAGCGTAGATGCCAAAATGTCAGGGATTGAATGAACAACGTGGAATTTAGTGTCATCCTGCAAATGCCAACGGCATTAACAAGTACTGAAAGAATCAATCGATCGACTTGACATTTTTTATGTTATCCATATTAATATATGCTATTAAGAGATTGCATGTGCAAATTAACAAGTCCCGAACTCGAGACAGACAAAAGATGCACTTGGAGGATTTATGGAGTCTGACTGTATTCGCAAATATCGTGTATGTAATGAGGAAGACTTTTTTCTCGTTGTAATAATAATAATAATAATAATAATAATAATAATAATAATAATAAAATCGCCGAGAAAAACAAATGTGCCGTTTATTGTGACAATACATTTATGATAATTCAGTATGTTAGTACAGTCATAATGCACACCCGTGATTTTCATATGATTTTACTGCATGTTTTGTTTACGTCAATTAATAAACACGCTTCAACAAGGATATCAATCCAAGTGAATCGTGCAAGCTTTATACAGAATCTTTGTCTTAATTTCAGACAAATAAAATCATTGTAGGAGCGTAAATTACTACTTAGCATTTTTTATGATGATGACGCAAACGGTTTAGATCAGTAAGTAGATAAAATATTTGAGCATCTTAAACATACCAATGCGTTTATTGAGTAATGTGAAACCCATAAAATGCTGACCCGTCCTAAATGCACGCTCCGACTCATTCCTATGGGGGATTGACCGTAGTTACAATGTGTAACAAAAACAAAACGGGTATTTTAATTTTGCCATTGCTCCTCAACATTTTCATGAACAAGACTTTATTTGAAAGATAAAACAACCAAATTCATTTGATAAGAAATTAATAAGAAATTCGCTCTCAATTGCAAGCTCACAACATCGCCGTATTGCCTCCTGCCAAACTAATTATGAGTGTTTTAGGAATATGTTTTACCAAAAATCTCGATAAATTTGAAAGGTTGTAGCCTTAGCTTTTCTACATTGTCTTAATAGTCTCGCAAAAACTTTGTATAGACTGTTGAAAGGTTGGCCCATAATTTCTGAACATTCTCCCGCAAGAACTCCTTGGCAAGACGACTCGCATGTTTTGAATTACTGTCTTGTTGAATTGCCAATCAACCCAAGCATCCTGTTAGCATTCCGGGTATGCTTTGAAGGATTACAAAAATTTTCGGGGTTTTTTTGTACATTCGATATTATTAATGTTAAACGGATTACCCGGAACAGTATTATTATTGTAAGCGTGCTGGCTCGAATGGATAAATTATTCAAAGTTGCGTGACTTTTTTTACGCGTTTTTGTTTTAAAGTTTGAGTTTTGCCTATATGCTTATAACTTTTCATACAGACCATATTTTAAAATTTTGACCGGTAATTTTATAAAACTTATTATGAAGAAAAATATTAACGGTCAGTTTTAAAAATATAATTTTAAGAAAGAGTTAAAAGGTTTTTAAAGTCATACAATTTTATTGTCGAGTTATGATTTCTGGCACCATATAAATTATTATGAACGTAACCTTGTTTATATCCGCTTAATTATACTAGGCAAGTTTATCTAATTACATTTTTATGTATGTATTTGTGTTAGAGTACGTCAATAGTTTAACGAATATGGTCAGGAAATATAGTAAAATCAGGCTAAAAATTTCAATGATTCATGGGTACCAATAATACAGTTGAAATAATTGCAGACGACTGGCTAAGCAGTTCTTTAAGTATAAGAAAAGTCAAGTATTCTAGCTAGGAATTATTATTTTTTTAGTACAAAGAGAATTTACGACAATTGCGCTATTACTATGTAATTCAGCATTTAGACAAACCAGACGTCACTAATAGAATTTATTAACCAATAAAATTACATGATACTATCTATTAGAACGCAATATTCCCAATGTAGGGATACGAACATTAATTCCAATGCCGAAAGTCAAGGAGAATTAGAACAACCTTTTGCTGGTGTTTCGAGTGCTCACGCTTTCACCCATACTCACGCACCATATTACAGAAATTTGTTTAGTTTATTTGTTGCACTCTTTGCTGAGTGTTGGGTCTTTGTTGATAAGATTCCCCGGAGGAGAACAATCATAGCGGATCCTTTCAGTATTCGATATTCACGTTAACCCATGCAGTGTGAAAATAATCCAGAACAAGACCACGATGCCAAGCATAATAACGAATGTATTAGTAGATATACAAACACTATATTAATATTAATATCACGCTTTGTTCATTTTGTCTGGCTGCACTCCCTATCCGGAGCATAATCACTATAAGCCGGCTATTATTATACTAATCGAGTACGACTCCTCCAGTGGGCTAAACTTGTACTAGTTTTTAATTTCCGCTTTTGTATAACTGTGTTACCTAGTCGACCAATAGAATACTGTTCTGGAAACGTAAGCAACCTTTTTGACAAAGGGTCCTAGAAACTCCTCTCTGACTTCTCTGCAAGACACTATCAGATTGGAGATACAGGAGCAACGACTTTGGCTTTTGCGTTAATTCCTCCCTGCATTCTTTGATCTCTGGAATAATAAGATACAACCTCCTACTCATACGAGTTCCTGTTAAGACACTCTCATCTCATCCCGGTTGTTTAAAAACCACAATGTCGGAAGGTCATCCCTCAAACGATGATGCTGAAGATTTCAAAGAACAAGACCGATTCTTGCCAATAGCTAACGTAGCACGTATTATGAAACGCGCCTTACCGGAGAACGCAAAGATTGCCAAGGAAGCAAAAGAATGCGTTCAGGAGTGTGTATCTGAATTTATTTCCTTCATAACAAGCGAATATCCTTTAATATAACCTCATGCAATATATTTCACAAGGAGAACACGTGTTTTTGTTAAATTCGAGTTTCGTAGCGAAAGTTCTTATTTATTAGTCGAAATACGTTGTTATTATGTCCTTGACTACGTTCTTGTTGTTACGGCTAGTGATCGCTGTCAGCAGGAGAAAAGGAAAACTATAAATGGTGAAGACATTTTGTGGGCAATGCAATCATTAGGTTTCGAAAACTATGCTGACGTTTTAAAGATTTATTTGGCGAAATATCGAGAGGTATGTTTGTGTTAAACTAATGGATCACTATTTGTTTGTGATTAACAAGCGTCAAATATGACTGGTTGACGATTTTCAATCTGTGGCCAATAGACTGTTAAACTAGAGCGATCGTCTGCAGGCTCGAAAGATAAAGACGATGATGGTCATGGCGTGAGCCCTTCATTTCAACCGACTCAGACTCAACAGCCACCACAGCAACAACCCCCACAGCAACAACCAGGACCGTACTATCCTGGTATGCCATCAGTCACTGGTATACAAGACATCGAACGGCTATAATTGGGTTCTTAAAATCATTCTCTATCAATTAAAGAATGAAATGGCATTTGTTCTAATAACGAATTAGTCAATTTATAAATTTTCACTCTAATATACAATCCTTAGTATACAATGTTAATAAGTAACCTGCGAACCTACCCAATATTTCTATCAATTTCTACCAAATCCCACGTTTCGTTTCCATCATCCATATCATCATCATCATCATCTGCATCATGGAAGTAGTTGTCATGTATTGCTGTATCATGCATGCTGTAATTATTTATTCCATCTTGCCCATCTCTTAAAGCAAACATTGCTTTCACGAGAGATGTGTAATCCAATCCAAACGACTGATCGGGTATATTCTGATAAGATGTTAAGTGAGAAGACCTAAATAGAATGTTAACGATGAGTATAAAGATACATATTGATCAAGAGCAATAAAAATAGAAATATACTGTTCCAACTATTAAAAATTCTTGTAATGGTTAATCGACATTGTCGCTCCCTATTCGTCAATATAAATACCATTCCTACCTTCCTAGCCCAGCCGCGTTGCAACAAAGATATAAATTCTGCAGGGTATTTGGCACCTTATGGAAGGCAATGTCGACTCCTTGTGTTCGACATAAATAGGCGATATCATAATTCAACATTGCCAACCCTTTGGTAAATGTATCAACGTTTGTTCCATCCAGATGAAGAGGCCGTCTCCTGTTATTAGAGTCATAGAGTTTAATTAATTGACCGCAGCAACAATGATGTCAACAATCATTAGTCATAATTCCATCTAACCAAGAACTCCTTACTGCGAACATGTAATGGAATATTCTCACTTATTAACATACCCGCCAGCCATACCAGAAAATGATCCGGTGGCGTATGGAAAAGATCCTTTATCTCGTAGCAAGCGATAGGGAAGCTTCACACCCAGATAATAGGCTGTTAATTGCAGCATGTGTATTACATAACCGACTGTTGTGTTTATATCCTCCATTGGATACTCTATGAACCATGAAAAGTTGATATTTACATCTCATCCTTAATAATCTCATTAACTTCAACTTTGAATATCAAGCAAAATTTACTTTGGAAATTTCCTTTCTTTGGCAATGTCATCCCAGCTATTGAATATTCAGCTTCATCATCAGCACTTCCATTGATCACTTGTATTATGTCGTTTTCCTTAGCTAATACAGCTACGCCGTTCTCTCGTACCTCAAAGTGATAGTCTTGTGGTCCATTTATCCGTTTTAAATCAAACAGAGACACGAGTTCTGCTATTAAAACTCTTCGAGAATGCATAAGCGTCTGATGTTTATTGTGCGATCGTTCTTTAGTATCAGCAATGTCTTTAATAATAGCTGCCTTTTGATTTGACTTCAGGTTAGCGAAGCATGAAAGAGATTTCTGGAGAACCGCTTTGCGAGTGGCTACGGATTTTTTTAGCATTTCTATTTCTTGACCGTCTTTCACACATTCGATCGACATCGACGATGATCATTGAAAAGCATAAACGCGCAAAAGTTTTCAAACCGCTTGTCAGTAACCCAGATAACTGATTTAATCAATTGCAAAAAGTAAATTTTTTGATGCACTACCTCGTACTATCTCCTCGCGCAGCCGCTCAGTCTCCCTCGCTACTCTCTTTATATTCTGAGTTCTCGCGTGCTTTTCCGCTATATTTTTGAGTTGATCTCGTAGCCCATTGTTCACTAGTTTACTAGCACGGTCTACATACTTCTGCTTATCTTGTGTGATTTGTTTCATATCAACATGGTGTGCTCGTAGTCTATCGGTTAAGAGAATATGTCAGTATTTACTGTACATTCTCGGAGGCTTTACCACAAAAGTTACCTTTCTCGTAAACAGTTGATGCAATAAAATTTTCGTTGATAGCTATGGCAGATCTCGCAGTCCATGTTGATAATAACGGCTATTTGGGAAAGTGTAATCGAAAAGGGGATAATTAACTGCGCTATATTTATTCGTGAATTTTGTCACACATGCCATAAGCGATGTGCTCACGTGGTCATTGTATATTAATTCAACTAACTCTGCCGCTGTCTTTAAGCGCAACTTATTGGTAAATCAACTGACAATGGCCGATTACTGGGGATATGCGTATGCCTTGGTGAGTGGTTGTCTAATGCTTGCGCTCTTATCTATCAGACATGGCTTGCAAACATGCTCTTACTTTATAGACAATCACTGTGGGCGGAATCTTTGGATATGCGAGGTGAGCATGGGAAATCCGTTAAATAGTGATGAGAGGATAGCTATTTCTAACAAATCCTATATCATTACATTTGGTTATTGTCAGAGCTGGTAAGTATATTACAGTCTCGATATTGAAAACGGATATTCTTATGATATAACTATCAACGATAGGAAGTATCGTATCCTTACTTGCAGGATTGACTTTCGGCGGATTGGCGGTACGAATCGGATAAGTTTCCTTTTGTTTGATTACTTCTCCAATTTAATTTTGATTACATTGCAGGGATTCTCGGCATATCGTGTCAGTACTAACTCGAGAAGTGTAGGGTTGGCTCTAGGTGAATTTCAATTTTAGCTCGCGCTATAGTTAAACTGCTTGACAGATTGCATCTAGTATTAACACGATTTTGCATACAGCTATCTCTTTAAGTTTATTGGTTGTGATGGGTACGCGTTTTGCGAGAAGTGGAAAGTTCATGCCAGCTGGATTAGTTGCTGTCTTGAGGTCAGTACACTACTAGTATATCTCGTGTCAATTTCTATTATACATCAGTTCTTATTTTTATTTTATTTTATTCCTTGTTCAGCTTGCTTTCGGCCATAAGATATGGCTACAAATACATTGCTTGAATACGCTAGCATTCACGTGACTTGTACAATAATCAAAATGCAATATACAAAAATTAGGTGTAACTGACTGATATACTGTATATCTTTTCATTAAACGAGTAAAGTCGATAGCTAATCAACGACGTCTATAATTAGAATCTCTCCTATCATCACGCCGCTTGCTGTATCTATCTCTATCTCTATCCCTATCCCTATCTCTATCTCTATCTCTATCTCTATCCCTATCTCCATCTCCATCCCTATCTCCATCTCTATCCCTATCTCTGTCAAAATATTCATATCTCTTTCGTTTCTCCCTATCCCTATCCCTTTCCCTATAACTGTCTTGATTCCTACGCTGGAATGCCTCTCCAATATCACTTCTTTGTGCCCTCTTCTCGCGCTGTTCCTCTATGGCCTGTTTCTTTCGCTCTAAAGGATCTATTACAACATAATCGTTAGGGTCATCTCTCCTCTGCATTAGATCTTTTCCCTTGTAATCTTTCTCAAAGACAAGCTGGTGTGATAGCCATCCTTCGTCGGTATCAGTGGCATTTGATTGACCAAACGTGTCACGACATGAGAGACAATTGGGAACAGAGTGAAGAGAACATGGTTCTGTATCCTCTGGCTGTGAGGATAATATTATGGTGTCCTCGGCGGCAACGGTGTGTAATTTTTGTTGGAAGCCTCGTAGGCGCTCTAATACCTAAGTGCAGGAAATGAAAAATAGGGTATGAAAAGGATTACATCAATCTTATTATTTTTTTAAATTGAATATTTGGTAGACTTACATCTGCTTCTGATTTCCTTTGTCTTTTGCCTATTGATGCTTTGCCTGATTTCATAAACTTCTCTCGTTCGAGTGCCACATAATTTATCTTTTTCTTTTTTTCCTTTTCTGCTTTCTCTGCTTTCTCTGCTTGGGCGCTTTTGGCTTTGCTCATCTGTTTCAATTCTTCGCTTACTTGTTGGATCTCCTGTCGGATTACATCTCTGAAATATAAATAATCATGTAAAAAGAACACATAAGATTCTAAACTGCATTGGTTAATCGCGACAACACACCTGTAACATCGATTTGCACATTCCTTACATTTTACTCGAATTCGGTCCCGAGCTATTCTTGAGTTCCTCCGCTCGTATAGACTCTAGCACTTGTTTCTTTACAGTCTCTTTCATTTTTCTGTCAAAATCCTCGGCTGTCTCATCACCGCCTGAACGATCGATCGCATTACGTACCCTTTCCTTGGTCTCTTTTAACGTTTTCTGCAACAAAAGCAGTTAATTTATAGGCTCCATATTGATCTGGTGCTTCTTAAAAATGCTCACCTCCTTGTCCGTAAAATCAAAAGCTGCCACCTCTTTACTGAGTCGCGGATCATTCTCCACTAAATCATGACTGCTTTTGATTCCACCATTAATGTCCTCCAATTCATTCGCCTCATCCCCAAATGATAATAGGGCAACATTTCTAAACAGTGTAGATGAAAATCAGAGACAATTGTTATACCAAAACCGCCATCGAATCTCGTAAACATACTTCTTGGCTTTCTTTTTTTTTGGCTTTTCCTGACTTGCGGCTGTAGCCTCTGCAATCCTTCGCTGCTCCTCAGCTGTTATTCTCGGAATTATATCATCAAATGGATTATATAACACTTCTGTAGATATTATAGTCGTCGGATACAACGGTCTCTCGTCATTATCGATTTCAGCCTCCCCCATTTTAATCACGTTGAAGATCGTATCTCCAGCAACCTTTCCAAAAATCGTGTGTTTGTTTTGCAACTCTTCTGTGCGATCAAGCGTTATGAAAAATTGACTACCATTATCATTACTCCCTGCATTGGCCATGGCAACTAGTCCACGACGTACGAACCGTAAGCGACTGTGGAATTCGTCGGCAAACGGTGATCCATATATAGAACTTCCGCCTACAATGATAATAAATTTTCACATTCATTAGATGCTTACGAGGGATGAACAGATTCATGGGCAGAAAGATGTGTACTTGCCGCTTCCCGTTCCAGTTGGATCGCCACCTTGTATGATGAAACCCGGAACTGCAAAGGCGCGAGAGATCGCATTCAGTCGGTAAATCATAAACTATCTACAGACTCCAAATTGATCACTCACCCAATCTGTGGAATATAGTTCCATTATAGTAACTTTCAAGACACAGCTGGATGAAATTTCTGCATGCTTTAGGTGTTTCTTTTGACCATAGTTCTATGTCAATGTCACCTGCTGTTGTATGGAGCACAACTTTGCCACTGTTTAGTAGGCAAGCTAAGTAAGTAATCTCAAAAATACAAAAGAAAAAACCACACCCAAGTTAAGTCAAATCGAAAATTATACTTTGTCAGCGGCTCCTGTATGTAAATATTACTCATGGCTATTTGAGTCTACTTTGGAAGAAGTAATATTAATATGGCGCATTTATAGGAAATTCAAAATTTCGAGATTGATCGACACGTGGTACATGCTTTGTTATCTTCTTACAACTGGGAAAGAGTATGGTGGTAAGTACATTGTTGTAAACATTAAACTTGTTGTTACAAATGTTCTTACAAATCCTTTTATTGTAGTTCTACGAGTTGCTATGTATAGCGCGAGCAGGTTTATCTGAAGTAATTATCGATATACTCTTCTCGAAGTTTGTTTTTAACTTTTAGTAGCACTCACTCCAATCATTGTATTCGAAGGCCAATCTGAAAGATTTAGTCAGAACTTCGGCAAAATACGTACTTAACAATGGAGGCGCTGTGAGGGGATTTTCCAGTTGGGGGACGCTTGCTCTTCCTACACGAACGCGTAGACATCAAGAATACCATACTGAGGGATAGTATGTAACGTAATTGACTGCTATGAGTTGCTTCGCCCCAGGGTTCTATTTACTCATACATTGTTTTATTCATTTCAGTTACTGGTTGATGCATTTTGACACTAATCCAATAATTGTTCAAGCATTACAAAAGAAGTTTAAAACTGATCCACGTGTAATAAGAGGCAATATTATTAAGCTGGGAGAGAAATTGGAAGACATTGTAGAGCGGCCAGATAAGACACGATAAATAAAAGAGTATGGGCATGAGTGAAGATGTGGGAATCACTTGTATTTGATTGTTATCGACTCTTTTGTTAATTTACAAGTTACCAGAACTTCTAATGGGAATAATCAACACGAAACTAATCAATTAATCCACGCTCACTGCGTAGCTACTCGCAATCCCATTAGTAATTACGATTTTTACTTCCTGCCCTAATCTTTCTAACTCAATCGATTCCTTTGATGAGAGCCACAATCATTCTACATATCAAGAAAGGGAAGTTAGTTTCCACCAACAGTTCTGGTCAAATAAAAAATACAGTGATAATATGCAGCGATATTCATACCTGTACAAATAGTAGAAGAATGAAACGAGATAAAATCCGAGCTTAGCGAAGCATTCTACCTTGTGACGTCCAAGCGTCTGGAATATTTCCGTAGCATCATACATATGCCGCTTGTGACTAATTCTATGTTTAACGGACGTTAAAAATATGTTGATAGATGGTTCTCATAGATAGTCGATGGTTTCACTTACTTATGCACATTATATGCAATCAACGGAATGTTGAAGACAAGCGCAATCCAACTTCCATTGATAAAGAACAGAAAGGTGAGAAAAACATGGACCAACATTTCTGGAAGTACAAACTAAATAAGATGTCAAATTAAATCCATTGAAAACAAAGAAGCCAAAGGTCTACAACATAGAAATTACCTGGTTCAATTTGTTACATAGATCAATAGGGTTGATATAATCACACTCTAGATCTGAAAACATAATTGTCTTTGAGAACACCCCAATTCGTTGAGTTAAGCGTAGAGATATTAGAATAAATTCAATTAATTATGGTAGAAAGACTACATGAATCCCTCACCATAAATCAGGTGGGAATTAAGAGAAACAAACGATTGCATGACTAATAGATATAAGTTGAACTTGGGGACAACACGGTACGTTTCTCTCAAATAAAGGATACGAAAAAAACCATTATGAACAACAATACGGCAGCTATAATAGTGCCAAATAGAAAGAGTAAGGCTTCTCCAGGCATTATGATGTCTTTAATTTTGTAGCTGTGCTTTTACGATTGCGGACTGTCGTTGACGGCAAATCTGCATTTTTAACCGTGATGAGGAAGGTTTAATATTAATCGACCCGTGCCTTATCTGGTATCTCATACGTGTAACAATCTCAACCCATAAATACATCCGATCACCATTACGTCATGATATTAACTGTGGACGTTAACAAACTTCCTTTTAAAGCTCCAAATCAGCTGTTTTCTAGTATCGCAAATTCCAAGATCTGCCCAGTTTCAGCAGTTTCCTAATACAAAAAATTCTCCACAAAATTGGTAATAGTTGACGTTTAGGCGTGCGTCATCGATGACTACTTTTTGGTGAAAGTTGTCCGTAAATTTTTTCACCTCATTAAACCTAGATCTCATGAGCGAAGAAGGAATTAAAAATTATTATCAAGCCAAAATTGAAGAGGCCGAGCTCTCAACCAATGAAAAAACTCAGAATTTGAGACGGCTTGAGGCCCAGAGGAATGCTCTTAATGCAAAGGGTATGTCAAACAGTTAACTGGAAAAACTAGATTCGGAATTGCTTCGGACGCTTCGTTCATCTATCGTGTGTTAAAGTTTAAGCAGCATCATTCGTCTGAAAGTAGCCAGCATGTTCCACATTGTTAACCCGGACAGGGTTCTGATCAAGTATTGACGAGAGCTAAGGCTAATTGACAATTTGTATGAAATGACAAGTGTAGTCCGACTGCTTAGGGAGGAATTACAACTACTCCAGGAACCAGGGTCGTATGTTGGTGAAGTTGTGAAGCTAATGGGTAAAAAGAAAGTTCTCGTCAAGGCAAGTAACTGTCGAATTGATCATTGCTTTTACTATTCAATTCTGATTACAAATGCTGACTTATTGATCTGTATAACAGGTCCATCCGGAAGGCAAATACGTAGTTGATATAGCACCGGATATTGAAACTAATCAAATCACGGCTACGTGTCGGGTAGCTCTACGTAATGATTCATATACTTTGCACAAAATTTTACCCAACAAAGTGGATCCACTCGTATCTTTGATGATGGTAGAAAAAGTACCTGATTCAACATACGAGATGGTTGGTGGGTTGGACAAACAAATTAAAGAGATTAAGGAAGTCATAGAATTGCCTGTGAAGCACCCAGAATTATTTGAGAGTTTGGGCATTGCACAGCCAAAAGTTTGTATGAGTCGATGAAATGTAAAGCATACGTTTTACTATTATTGAAACTCTTTATATATATATATATTATTTAGGGTGTATTACTTTATGGTCCACCTGGCACTGGAAAGACACTACTGGCTAGAGCCGTAGCACATCATACAGATTGTAAATTTATCCGTGTCTCCGGCTCTGAATTAGTACAGAAATATATTGGAGAAGGCAGTCGAATGGTCAGAGAATTATTCGTCATGGCCAGGTAAATCCTTGTCGCTGGAGCCTTATTCAGACCCTCTAGGAAGCAGCTCTAATACATTACAACCTGTTACAGAGAACACGCACCCTCTATCATATTCATGGACGAAATTGACTCGATCGGATCATCACGTATAGAATCGGGTTCAGGCGGAGGCGATTCCGAAGTGCAGAGAACTATGCTTGAATTGCTTAACCAACTGGATGGATTTGAACCAACAAAAAACATAAAGGTGCCTGCTTATCTTTTTGTGTAGTATGTGAAATTCGCGCGATTGAGCAAACGTTAACATTGTTGAATGTGATGTAGGTCATTATGGCTACCAACCGTATCGATATTCTTGATCCCGCACTGTTACGACCTGGTCGTATCGATAGAAAGATAGAGTTTCCACCGCCGTCTGAAGCAGTGAGTACTTAAAGTTTCTGGTTGAAACCATGGCGGCTGCTAGATTAATGGCTTTCTTAACATATGTATGACCCTACTTGTTAGCTATTCTGATTTCGGTATATACCGATTTAATCTTGATATATGTTATAGGCACGCGCGGATATTCTTAAAATCCATTCACGGAAGATGAACTTGACACGAGGCATCAACCTACGCAAGATCGCTGAGAAAATGACTGGATCAAGCGGTGCAGAAGTCAAGGTATTCTAATCTCGTTTTCGGCTAACGTTCGCTATGAAACTATCATCCTCTTGATGTTGAATATGTTTTTTTTTTTTAATATAAACAGGCTGTATGCACGGAGGCGGGAATGTATGCTCTCAGGGAACGCCGTGTACACGTTACTCAGGAGGACTTTGAAATGGCTGTAGCAAAGGTTATGAAGAAAGGCGAGGAGCAGAATGAGAGTTTGCGTAAATTATGGAAATGACAACGTTTTGTACGCACCATTCAAGTTCTTTTTGAAAATAAACTGTCATCAATTTTTTTTTAATTCTTCGTACTTATTGTTACGATGTACTGCAAGTTACCCCCTTTTGACTATGAGCCGTATAATTGAAATTTCTTTCTTTATTATATTGACAAAGGTTTAATTAGGCTGTTTAGTAAGTTATCCAGCTAATTGTTGAAACTGTTGACAGTCTACCATCCCGACCGGACTTTATTTACGTCGGGATAAATTTTAATCGACTAAGACAATTCACATTCCCAGGCTTTCCATCCAGATATCCTCTACACTGTTGCAGAGGAACTAACAAAACTTGAAGTGTTTGAATTCCATTTTTCAGATTATCCAGCATCAGATGACGTCGTTGTATGGTGTGACGCGATTAGCAAACTCATACAAAGCAAGAGGGATTATGGGTCTTGTTTCTCTCGCCAGATTTCGAATCTCCTCAGACTAGCTGGAAACTTATCTGAGAAGCGGTGTGTACGCAAGCCAATACTCTTAGAAGAATTGAGATACAATTTGCAGAGGCTAATGATATATTCAGTGACCTGGTCACGTACTAATCTTTATGAAATTGAGTTACATTATTGCACTTTCTATCGCTAATATTATTTACAACTGTCATCAGTTGCGTTCTCCCATCTTCTCATACCCTAAATTGTATTTGACGGAAATTAATTCTCATGGTATTGAAACATATTTAGAAAGTCTAAAAGTTCTTTCTGTAGGCGCATTATTCCTATACTAAATCAGGAGGAATAAAAATAGTCCTATGGATGACATTTTACCAGATGGTAGCATCAAAGGTATTATCAATGCAAACGTTCAACTCGTGTGCTCAGCAAAGCTTAAATGATTATGCCAATTGTATTGTTAACATTTCATACTAAATTGGTAAGGAATGTTGTTTTAATTTAAAAGAAATAGGTGCAGTGATTATGTATGTACAATATATTACTTACTAGCATACCTATTCAAATGTGTCAACATTATTACCACGAGTAGACGTGATTTTCGTAACCTGTCTAAGATAATCCACTGAATGCGGTAATAAAAAGGGATGGACCTATCCTCAAAAATACCGATATTAATATATCAATACGGATATTTGATCTATTATCACATCACATTAAGGTTTTTAGATTGAGACATGAACAAGCTAAACCCATCGGTAATTTCGCAAAAGATGCCTTGGGCAGGATCGCAAAATCCTTATTATTATGTGGGTGGTAAGAAATATTTAGATATTCTAATTTATGGCATGACCGTGCGATTGCACGTAGACCTTTATCAGGCATTGCTCGAGGATGAAGGCTTATATAGTTTTCTTCACTACATAAATTGATTAGGGATTGATTCTGCTATTAGCTTTAGCGCTTTATCAGTAAAACCTGTACTTTTTCAAAATCAAATGAATTGTATTTTATCTGAAAGTGAATGGTAGTATGGAATTCTAAGACGAGAGATTCGAGCTTTTACCTTTCACGTACTAATTTCGTAAAATTTTTTTCAATCGAGAGCGTTCTTCCTTTTAGCTTGATGTCTCCCGAACAAATAATGTGGGGTTGTCTATCGCTAAGAAATATCCAATAGTTCTGGTATATTGATTGCGCCATGAATAATATACCGTTGTTCCACAAGAAAATGTAAAATCGTTAATTTTTCTATTATAGTCTTTTTTTTTTTTTTTTTGGAATACAAGTACCGAAAAATGGTTAATATATTTCTAACATTAATGATATTGACGATACACGATCAACGTTTACCGTTGCGCAATCCATCATATTCCTCCGTGAAGGCGTCCTGGTCCCTAGCCTTCGCCACCAGCACCATAATCGACCCTTCTGCCTCGCTTCTAGCAGTGCCAGCTACTGCTCGAACGGTTTGAGCAGCTATTATAAAAAATAATAAATAAAACAGTATGTCAATGTCGAGGTTAGTCTTTATATTGTTTTTTCTAGTCAAATGAGATTTTTATTTTCGATTCGAATATGTTATTATATTATAATTGCTCCAAGTTCCATTTAAAAAATAAGAATATTATACGTATGTATTACTAATTTTCCCAGTATGATTCTTGCACTTATGATTCTTGCACTGAAGTAAATACTGGGTTCTGCTGACGGTGGCCATGAGGTCGACACCACTATCACTGTTCGAGCTAATAACGCAAAAAAAATGAGTATTTGTGTCATAATAGTCAAGATCAGAAACAAATCTCAATGATCAATATATCCTATTCACCACAGCCGGAGTAGGAGAAATTACCATCTCGACGGCTTTTTGGTAACAAAGAAGAACAGCTATTCAGACACCATGTAACAAGGACCCTAAAGCGTTTCATATGTATCCTATTCACCACAGACAGCCGGAGTAGGAGAAATTACCATCTCAACGGCTTTTCGGTAACGAGAGTCGATATGTTTGCACCTCCTATGGTGCTTACCAAAACTCTGATTTACACCTAGTGGCAGCGTAACTTCAGACACATACACAATATGCTCAGCCTGAACACAGTAACTTGCAAACTGTCACTTTTAATTCTTTGATTTACACCGAGTGGCAGCGTACCTTTGGATATAATAACCATTCTACAAATATTCAGTGAGATACTCACCCAAACTTCCGCCTTGTATATACGCGGATGCCGCGCTGTGTGAGGATTTTTCCTACGGTCGCCTCGAACTCCGACCCACGCGCGGCATTGTCTCGTCGTTGTTTGGTGCTGGTCACTGCTGTGCTTTTTTCATCCGCGAGAGTATTCTTTCTTCTCTTTCGGGTCGACCCATTTCTTAGACAGTAGTTAGTGTTATTATCATTATCATGCTTCACGTAGTTTATATTATATTTACGAAGAGTAATTTGATAATCTATGTGATTTCTGCGAGATAGTAGAGACTTGATATTCCCATGGAAATCAAAAACGGGGATCGTTGATTTTAAGACTTTTGCTGGATATTTATTTGTCACATTCCCAAGGGATAGGCGAGGAAATTTTCTCCCGCGTTATTCCATCCTATCACAAGCATCTTTGTGAAACCGAATGAATAATCTTTAGTAAAGAATACTAATACTAGTTTGCATCTTATAATCTGTAATTTAGATAGGAATGTCAGCAGTCAAATGCACCCTATCAAATAAATAAACGACTTGCATTTTACTGTATAATTATCTTAACATTCAACTTTTTCAATGTATCAGCAGAGAAAAGGCAAAGGTAGAAAATGGCATCCATATATCACTTGTCACATAATGTAGTCCCTAAAGTCGAGACGTAGAAATGAATAGTTGTGAACGTGACGTTCACCATCGCAAAATCTAACATCGTAGAGAAGGATAATTCATACTTTGAGTTTTCGTCCTTATTATTATGTAAATGGGTTCTATTTGCCACTATAAAATGTGAATTCCCATGGTCGATCAATTAGTGAAACATGAAAAAATCTCTATTGTATGGTGCACGCAGTCTAAAGCCACCACTATTTATCATGTGACTTCAAATGAATATAAATAGAAAAAAAAACTGGATGAATATTTTTCTGTAAAATGATAGTTTATATGGTACTCTTTTATGTAACAGAAAGTTTTTTTAAATTGGATTACTGTAACATAAAATATATAAGTTCTTATATCAGTTATTTTACTAAGTTCGAAATAAATTTGGCCGGGACGGCACTACATAATGCGGGCCAAAATTTATAAACTGTCCGGAATTAAAAATTCGATCAACCGTATTTTTAGCATGTGAATTTTAACGTGTAGATCTGCGTTTGCAGATAATCTCACTCGTAAAAATGCCACCAAAGAGACGAAAAGTTCAACTTGCAGCCGCACGAAAAAATAAAGCTTTAAAAAAATGCAATTAATGAAACTTTGCTAAATGATGATGATGAATTATTATCAGATTGTTATAATTTTGATGATGATTGGCATGATGTTGAACTTGAAAATAATTAAGATCACATCGCAAAATGTAATTAATTATGTAAATTCTTAATAAAGCTATCGTCTTACTAAAAATTCTTAATTGTTTCACGTGACTGAATTTATCGGAAATTTGGCCACAAAGCAAAAAAGTGGTGGCTTTAGACTGCGTGCACCACACGTATTCATTATGTGAGCCGCAGTGATTTTGGTACCGTTGTGAAGCTGATTGTACTTTTCGAAAAAATAGCGATATATCCAGCCCCTTTATCTATGGTTCTATTAAATGGCTACACATACGAAAACGTATGAAAATCATTTGTGTAGCATAAATATCCGTTACAGTAACTGTTTGAAATTTTGCACTATTTTTTTTCGAAAAGTGTAGCTAATTAGCTTCAAAAAATGCAAATTTTATTGCGGCTTACATAGTATGTACAGACAAAGAAAGGTTTTCGAAAAAAGGTTTTTCATATTAATATGTTTTACTAATTGATCGACAAAAATCACGAATACTTTTGACTGAGTGTATAATAATAATGTATTACCATTAAACGTCATATGACAAAAGATTTTTATTAGAATGCGATTTTTTGTTTACAGGTAAGATGAAATAAGCTCACATTAATATATAGTCACATCGTAACAAGGAATTTGGCATTCCATCTTTTTGTGATGTCAAAAGTTAATGGATGCAAACAACGAGACTGCTAACAATAAGTCTGTTTATTTGAGTTAATAAAGAATTCGTACGATCATCGGGTTATATTCGGTTATAATTGTCCGATACTAGTGACATGCTAAATAGAATACAACAAAGTATCGTATAATGCGAATGATAATAATGTTGGAAGCAATTTCAATGCTGCTGTTGTTATCGGCACTTCATATCGCATCCTTCAGTAGTATATTAATATTGCGGGTTTCATGGTATAATTGGAAATTTGTGCAAGTATTTCGTATTATAGTTCATATCCTCGTGCATCATTGATATTTGGCAAGAGTGAATGATGAAGAAAGCTTGCGATTACGTTAAAATGTTGGGGACTTGGATAATATCAGAACGCGAAGTATTTAATGCTCCGTGTTAGCTAGTCGAATGCCGTAGTTTTATGTTACAGATTGCAAGTCTCGGTGACTATTAATATTAAAGACCCGCGAATAAATATTAGATGAGCTAAATAGAATATCGTTTGCTAAGAACCTACATTGCTTATTACTATTATTATTACTATATATATTTCCATCGTTTCACCATAGTAGTTCAATTTTCGATATTATTGTTGTTGTTGTTGTTGTTGTTGTTGTTGTTGTTGTTGTTGTTGTTGTTGTTGCTGTTCGTGTTATTTGATCAGTGTCAATATCTTTTGATGGGAGTTGCGTATCCTTCTCATTTTGTTAATGGCATTTAGTTTTTTTCTTGTAATGCAGTAAGAAAAGCTTGGAAGAAGTCACAAAGAGGACCACCTTTTTCCGACACCTTTTTTGAACGCCGCTAATACTAAGTCTCTCAATAACACAACGACCCCATAAATCAAACATCTATAATAACGTTCTTGTCCTCGATCTTCTTTCTTTGCTGCATTGAAAACCTACCCAGGCCAGGACTGGATGGTTATCGACAAGATCACTCATAAGGAATGTTTCAGAAAGTTTTACTATACTGTATATTAATTTCTTATTTATTTACTATAGTAATAGACTTACAAATTAAAATTCCATATCGTTGATGCTAGCGGCTAAATTAGGTAACTATTAGTAATTGTCCTTGAAACATGAAAGGTTAAACGTAAGTAGACTTACCTCGTTTCTTATTTCTAACCTCTCTAAAAATTCCTTGAACAAAATTTTCGAAATACTTTATGTGGGGTTTGAGCGAAGTCTTTTCATAATCTATTGATGCGATGAATTTCGTGAGATCAAATAACAGCGTGTTGACATGTTTGCACCTTGTTAACTCTACCATGAAGCTTCCGTTCTCCCTCTTCTTTAACACTGTATTTATTCAATTCGCATAGCAAGTCAGCTACTGTGGGCACTTCATGTGGATCAAAGTTCTCACACTTTTCGGGGTCGATTGGAACGCAGACTCGTCCTGTGAAAGGAAAGCTATATTAACAAACATCGTGCAATACAAGTGATTGTTTCAATAAAGCTCTTGCCTGTTTTTGGATGTACACAAAATGGACTTTTTAGCAAGTGATTTATGTGGGTTGACACATTTTCGTCCAGACGCGGATATGTGTATTGGAACATTATTTCTAGTTCTGCATTCTTAAGAGCATCAGCTCTTTTTTGATTCTTGTAATTAAGCACATCCTAATTATTAACATAATACGGAATATCCAAGTAGAATTACTGAGAAAATACCTTCTTTAGCGTTCCACATGCATGATTCAATTCTGAGACCAAATCTGTCCACTTATCCGTAGACGTTCGCGATGGCGCAGCATTCCAGGCATCTGAAAGAGTCTTCCGTGTCTCTTGTAAACGAAATCGAACATTGTCATAATGCTACACATGAAGCCATTTATTCTAATATGCGATAGCATTATCTTTACCTTCGTCAGGTATGCATTGGAGAATCTTTCTCCATCCCTCTTCATCGTTCAGTAAGTCTTGATCTTCCAACACAATCTGGGAAAAATAGCTTCGTAATATGTCGGCGGACCGCCTGATTATCCAAGACGGTCGAAACCCGTTAAATTACAGCTCGAATGTACAAACCAAACGGGTTATGATTATGACTTACTGTAATGAGGGATGCAATGCTTTCGGAAGGAATACTTTCTTGGCTTGTTGTGCACCACCCTATGGTGCTATAAAGATCAAAAAGTGCACCAACCAAATGATTAAAAATAGTAATAATAAGGCAATAATCTTACCTTTATCACCGAAAGATATGCAATGATAGCTGACCTTGCTTCATCGCTCAGCTTTCGCGCTCTCTCGTCGCAGATCCAGCAATGTACACCACGTCGACCAGAATATACCCAAAGTAAATGCTTGAAGCCAAAATCATCTGTTCGTCAGAAAAATAGGCTCTTTATTAGTAGAAATAATCCGATAGATTAACAGAGTGTTAATACCAACCTCGTAGTGCGCTATCCAAGATTTTAATAGCAATTGTCATAAACTGCCAGCACTTTATGCAGACATTGCCTCCACTGCAGAATATGGTATCAGATAAATGAGATCCAATCAAGAATAATGTCACAAAGATACTAATAGTCATGGAACATTCGTTATCTTCACCTGCAGCATTTACGTATTTCATCATAATCAGTCATATCAATATCGAACACTAGTTCCTTCTCAACTGGCACAAATGCTCCAGGTCGAGCTGTCTTCTTATCCTTTGGCTGATAATAACATACCTATATTAATATGCAGATCTTGCAACGCATGAAATAATTGCTTTACGACCTGAATTCGTATAATGATAATTACCTTGATCGTATATACTGCTCCAATATCAATCTTTGATGGAAGCTCCTTTAGTAATTCTGCTTTTAATTCCTCATGACTGTTGAATGACTGGTATCGCACGTAGACATCGTTGGGCAGATTAAAACTAAATTCACGATTTATAAACGATTTTGTGGGGACTGCCGCAAGGATAGAAGGAAAAACCAATAAGCTATCTACGATCGTGAGCCCAATCGCAGATTAACATTGTCGACACATACCCGTATCATAATTAAGCCAATGATAGTAAGTTTTGTATGGAAAAATTCGCTGATAGAAAATCCCCATCAGTTCATGAATTGGCATATCTCTCATATCAAGGCCTGTTCCTTGCGGTTGCGTAAGTTGCATCGCAGATAGACTCTCTTCCACGGGCTGGAACTCGGCAGCATCGACTTGAGGTCAATTACGTGAAGTTACAACGGGGAAGACAAAGTAGTTAGTATGAAGGTTTATTAAAATAACAATTGACGCGTAAATGTAAGTTCTTGTGTCAACCATGCATATCATCTTCTGTCTTTATATCTGGTTCCATAATGAGGATAACGACAGGTTGTTCAACCAACTCGACGCGAAATTTGTCCAGCAAAGTCACGTGATACAAGTATATCAATCAATCAAAAGTTGCATTGGGATGATTTTTCACGCTTTCCACTATACTACTATGAGAACAATAGCAGACATTGAGGTGGAAAGCTCCACAAAAAAGAAACAAACTCGCCAACCATTGTCAGCTACAGCTTGTTTGGAAGAGGCGTTGACAAAGCTCGAGTTCAGTAGTCCGTTAAATCTATCACCGCTAACCGAGGTTATTCGACAACAATTAGTATCGAGGATCTCTGAACTAGAGAAATGGTGTACTCAAACTCGGATGCATAGAACATTAGTACGGTGGGGTGTACCGCCTTTGTACGTGTTTCTGTTCTTTGCAGCATTGACTTTGATAACGATAAGGAGAATGTATGTAAGATCGGTTTATTTACTATGTAATTTAGTTGGAGTTGTATATCCAGCCTACAAATCCATCAAAGCAATCGATCATGTGGGCCCTATTGAGGGAGAAGCCGCTGCTGAACAGAGACAATGGTTAACTTATTGGGCTATTTACGGATGGCTACAAGTGGCAGACTATTGGTCAAATTGGTTTCTCGAATTATTTCCAGGTTATAATTTCTTCAAGTTGGTTTTGTTATATTGGGCACAAAGCGATCGATCGAAAGGTGCAACATTGATTTTTGAGCACATTATAAAGCCGTTTATGCATAGACCAGCAAATAAAGACTTGAAGAAGCATCGACAAAGATTACAACCGCAGGCGTCTCAACAGAACCAGGCGCAGCAACGGCCATTCAATCAAAATGGTGAGAATGCTTGTGATGTTGATAGAACTGATCAGCCGTCTGTTACTTCTGCTCCAGACACTTATGTTGCGGAACCTTCTCCCGAGGAAATATGGCAAAGGGACGCATATTCCGACATGAGAAAAAATAACGTTAATATTAAGCCTTATAAGCTTGAAGGTGTATCATGATTTTTTAGTAGTAAATGTCAGTAATGTATGATAGGTTTTGTTACTATTCTATACTATATGAAAGTTTTGTATTAATACAATTTAATTATTCAGAACGACTCTTCTTCAATTTTCGATTCATTTTTCCTGCTTCACTTGTATCACCAACGTCTTTATTATCCCTATCGGGATTTGTCCTCTAATAAAAAAAATAGTAATAGATTATTGTTATGTCGATTAACAATAAACTCAAATAGTAATAGTGCATTAACTAACCTTTTTGGTTTTCTTGTCAGGTTTGTTTAGCTGTTCTTCTGTGACCTCATCAATTTTCTTTACCTTTATACGGAAATCACGCGCTGTAGATCTCTTCATATACTGCATAAGGTTTGTCTACAAACAGCATAAATAGTTAGACCTCAATACACCTTAAATTCAAATTCACCAAAAAGACAAACCTTTGATTTCTTGGATAGTTGGAGGATTGACTTCTCAAACTGTTCATGAGTAAAAACTGCACTGGGAACAAGCTTGGATTCTCTTGCGATTCGAGCCTATTAAATTAAGAACAATAAATGTTATCTTGTTTTATTAATACTATGCGTACAATGTTTATCATACCTTTGTAGTCTTGCTCTTTCCCTTTCCGTTATTGCTTGTCTGTCTTCCTCCACTATTTAATTGACCGAACGCCATGAGAAGAGTGTAGAAGTTCTCAGTCAGCTGGTCACCAGTTAGTTTTATTATATCAACAAAGTGTGAAGGCGTGTCTCCGCCAGTCGCAATCATCTAAAAAAATCGATAACGTTAAATTAACTCTCTCTCCGAACTCTTCGATTAACCTTTGCTAACTATACTTACATGTTTAGTCAATGTTGCTAACACTTTATACGTTTTTATGAGACACTTGATCAAGTGTTCAGCCGAAGATATTGGCAGGCTTGCTCGTTCCAAGGATACGATTGTGCGTATCATTATTTCAAGCTTTTTACATATAGGAGATACAGTCGATGCCCCTTCGACTGATGCGATTGCGAAATATTTCAGAGCAAGAAAAAATGGCAGTTTGCTTTGACAGCGCAACAGTTTCATCTACATACCAGATCCCTTCAGTCGTCCTAAGCACCAATCAATATCATCCATAGTCTCCATTAAGAAAGTTATTAACACATTACAGACGTGTACTCCTGTTCTAGCATTTACGATGGCATACTTTGGTTTAACAGCATTCGATTCGTATGCTTCCGCATCAATCTCACCCCACACTGTCAACACATCCTGTGCAAACTCGGCTGCAATGTTGAAGTCACCGATGTCTTTTTCCAATTTAATTAGCAGGCTTACAAAGTTCTTAGCCAAGTTCGAATCGTCTATCTCACGATCCGAACAGAGGTCACGAAGCCATGCGATTAATTGTTCCAAATGTTCTTTAGAGTTATTTTGATTGGGACGCTTAAGAAATTGTTTTGCAAACAAAGATAGCGTTTGACATAGACTTGAGGCTTCTCTTATTAATGGAGTTTTTTCATCTATTGTTGTCATTATCAGACGCTGATAGGCAGGATATGAGTAGATTAATAACTAGTGCGCCGTTATAGCAGACTTATCAAAGGGGATATTATAACATACATGTGATATTACCTCAAATTCAACGATATATGCTCCAAGCCATCTATTCAGATCAGTGTGAGTAGTGTCTTCTTTCTCATCAGTTGGATATACCATTGAGAGAAATTCGACCAATTTCTCTGGCCAACGGGTAGCAACAGCTTCGGTTAAGAGTGTAAAACATTCGATAACTATGGCGAGAATAGATTTACCCTATGATATCGAAGGCAAGTTATGGGAATTAAACAATGACCAATAATGCTAATGTAAACTTTTCCGCGATTTACATGCCTTCTCTTTTTTGTCGGATATATATAGAGTACTGATATTCTCGTTGTTCTTCCTTATGAATTCATTCATAAACACCTTTGCCATTGATACGCAATAGTTGAAGCTAGATATGTCTTCAGAGTCAAGCCTAGACAATATCTAAAATAAAACAATAGCGAATTAATGACGAATAAAAAAAGAATCTGGGCAGTGATAAAGTTACCTCCGATATTTTGTGATGAGCTGCTGTAGTGAGATATTTTACAAAGTCGGTATCACTCCTTAAGATCTTCTTCGCCTGATTCACAGTGGTGGTGCTACTGTCCTCAAACGTGAATTGACATAATTCAGCTATGCACCGGAAGCTCAGTGTGGATATATCTATATTTGCTGTGAGCATTTTGCGTCCTTTCGTGAAGAATATAAAGGTGTGATCAGAATGATATTTTCAAGGGTAACGAGTGACGATGCAAATCTTTACCTTTGGTACTAATTGATTTCTCTTTGAGTATATCAAGCAATGCCATGTATCGCTTGAATAGTTTTGAGATGTTCTCTGCTGCATCCACGACGTTGTCATTACAGAAGTAGCAGTGCTCGATCATAGCCTATATGCAAAAAGGTGTTACTACTAATCACAGTCGAAGTTTACTAATAAATACAATCCAATCAAAATTACCTCGTAACATCCTAGTAATAAAGAAACAATAATGTTATTTCGAATACCTTCGCTAGAAGTAATATTAAAATCGGCACAGGGGTCAACCGACAAATCAACCATATCAGATTTCGTCATTCTATCAGCGAGCAACTGCAGCTGATTTCTGCATTCTTTGAATTGTTCCTCCTCAAAGGTGTCTGTGTCATTGAGAATGCAAATGAATTAGACAAGTCTATGTAGCATAGCCATGGTTCTGCTCATTATATTTAACCACTTGTTGATAAGTATCTTACCATTTTCGCTACAGTCTTTATTTTTTAACATCAATGCAATGGATTTGCTCAGGCATGAAAGTAGGTAAGGCAATGGCTCAATTATTGTTGGCTCATCGTTAGATGCATCAATACAAGTCTCGAGTTTAATTGTAGCATGAACACCTGTTTCCATTTCAAAATATTTCATAAACTACCAGAAAAGAATGTGTGATTAGTAATTAAATAATTGGAGGGTGCTCTGAGTGTTATAAAACGCATACTTACATGAGGATATATCGTCTCAAATATCGTACGGTTGAGATCGTGACGAAAGTCCATTAAATTCATCAGCCCCTCGTATAGTACAAGTCTAATCTGAGGCTGTAAACTGAAGCACTTGCGTAGCATTCCTAATGTCATCCAACAGACGGTCGTATTATTATTTCATATTTGATGCGCCGCAACACATTGTATATGTTATAAATTGCATTATAGTATACCAAGTATCTCTAATGCAAGAGTCTGAGTGTGATGATCCGGATTGGATATGGAAGACGTTGCTACAGATTCAGAAGATTGCCCGCTCGTTACAGCAGTCATTCTCAAAAGACTTAATAACCCAGTCACGGCAATCTGTCTACCAGACACATCCCTATGCAACAGATAATCATTAATATCAAAGCGGTTAAGATACAGTTGTCAATATCCAATCAATGAATAATAACCTGGAGAACATGGCTTTACGCAATACGAGGATAAGGCTATCACGAAAAGATTGATTCATATACACTATCGGTTGTACTGCCGTCAACAGTCCTTTGGCTGTTGATAGTGGCAGTAATGACAGATAATCAAAGGCCTCTTTAATCTGTTGCATAACAATGCAATAAGATATTAATTAATGAATCAACTAATCCTATATATGACAATAACTTACCCGCGGTAAGTAGCTATGTAATGCCTGAGGAGCCTCATACACAATCATTTCCAATAGACGTAAGAAATATGTAACACTAGTCGACTTCCCAATGATACGGTTTAATATTTGATCCAATATTTCATTTCGAACAACGTCGTGAAGCTAGACAAAGCATAGGCAAAATCAGAGACGCTCAAATACCATTCCTTCGCATTCCTTAACCGATCCAATACAACACCTTAAACATCTCTAATAGAATTCTTGTAGCAAGTTCCCCAACCATGTCTGTCGTAGTCATCGGAGATCCCTTTGGCTTAAGCGTATCTATCAGATGCATCATTAAGAAAAATCTATATATTACCCTAAATACATGCGGCAAAATATCATCACAAAATACCTTTTCTATTGACTAATGTTGATCCAGTTGAATCCATAAGAAGAACTCCCAATTGAATCAGACTCTGTGTCGTCTGATCCCATCCATAAGCAGTCTTTTTAATAAGCTCAGAAAATATCTGCAGTACAGGCACAGATGTATCAATGAATGAGAGAGCTATCGTTAAGGATTATATGTTAGTTACATAATGGTAAAGCAATAACCGTCTGCACTATTAAAGCAAATATCGTACCGCTTATCCATGGAGATTTTTCCAGCCTCTCTTTATCTTTAAATGTAGCTGTAATGGCTGATTTCAGATAATCAAGTATCTGTTTGAATAAAAAATAGATAGCGTTATACCCTCTAATCTACGTAACGTATGCATGTCATTATTGATTACTAACCGTGTCTTCAAATCTATGTATTCTTGCTACTGACAACAAACAAGCGAGATTAAATGGTGTCAAACCAGATGATTTTTCCGATTTAATGTATTTGATGAGTTCAACGCCTAATTCCTATAAATAATTGTAGTAGATGTTGAGCGAGTTCCTACAAGTGGATTCTCCCATGAACAATTCTCCCTTTTTGATACCTGATCCTGCTTAACTGCGAAACAGAAGTGAATCAGCACTGTTCCTTCGATATGGCTCACTTGCGAAAACGTTGAAGATGATGGCGGCGTAGTATCTACCTGACTTTTATGACATTATGCTAGATTAATTATAGAGACAACCTTTATACAGCGTGTTCATAGGTGCTACATTCTTTTACCTTGTTGTTATATGTGTCTCATCTAGCCGGTTATAATAAGATGTGATGCCTTTGATGATTACGCGCTTGTGATCCTATTGTAGACAGAAATGCGTGACATCTAAGCTCGAATTTTGAAACTAGTAGCACTCCTCGAATGCCATAATACCTTTCTTGAAAGTAAAAGCAGTTTATACACGATAGGAGGAGTCTCGTTTGCATCCATGTCATCGAAGTAACTACATAGAATGTATTAATACATTAATGATAGTTTACATCATATGAAGAACCTTGCCTCGTCACATTGCCAACAAAAACAATACCTCATGACTTTCTCCACAGCACATTCAGCCTATAATGTCCAAGCAATGATACCAGATGAAGTTCATTAACTGTCCAATACAACCATTAAATACACAAATCCATCTCCACTGACCGTCTCTTTTGACATTGGTATGTCCGGGAACATACTGATAATACTTAATACATTTTCAATGTGCCATTTAGCAAGACATATTCTGTTCAAGATGATATCCCTATATTGTGTTCCAGTGAAACTCCTCGTCCCGGTTGCCGTACGTATTGTAACCGATTCAAATGCATCCAAAGTAGACAGAAATTTAGGAATAAATGCAAGAAGTTTCGGATGCAACGGTCTGTTTTGATTAATAGAGTCGATTATGTGATTCGTTGCCTCGATCATTGATGTCACTTGGAAGCTATCAATCTGATAGCATGTATGTTAGCAAATAGCATATGAATACAAAGATAGTTTAGTAACATCAGTATATTACTTGAGCCTACTTGTTTGAATGCTAATTGATCATACCTCGCTGTCCAGTAAGTCAACGATTTCAGATATGGATTTATCAACTGACTGAGAAACGTGGTTCCCTTTCTCATCAAGCCTTTATAAAAAGAACCATGTCCGTTGATACAGATGTTCGGGAATGTATCTTATTTCATGTATTAATGAATTAAAGATCAAATACCATTTAACAAAAGTTATCAAAATGGCTGATCTTCTCGCCTTGTTCTTGTCGTTGTCAGGTGGGGTTGCTAAATAACATGTGATAATTAATTGGTAAGCCCAGGGTGCAAATATTGCGAGTTTGATTTATCTTTTCTTCCTTGTATAAATAATATACCTTTAAGTATTGATCGTAAAACCGTAAAGCAATCTCTTTTATCTCCCGTCAGAAGATTCTCATCACTCAAATATCGTGCAACGACTTGAGTTATCTTATTTCAACGCATAAATAGGTTGTCAATAATTATTCTATTATCCTTTTACCAATTCATTTAAATGCAAACCTCGGCAGTTTCATAATCGCTGATATATTCACGAAGCTGATTATAGTCATTATTACGTGCGAAATTTAAGATTTTTGCATCCATTATCATCTGGTAAAATGAACAGAATGTGAAGTTTAATTTCTTAAGAACGCGGAATGTGTTAATGTATTTACCAGAATGTAACGCGTCTTAACATCAAATTCTGTTACACTAACCAGGGCAGTCAAGTGTCACAAGTTCTTTCTATCATCGGGATCACCCATGCCATGGCGTTCTCGGCATCTGACCATCATTCAATCTAACAATCTCGTTTGTAAATGTGCACTCGAAGGACATTCTTCCATTGGGGCAACAATAGTCGAGGGTATCGCACTCATAGAATTAAAATTTTAGATAAATATCTCCCCCAATTAATTGGGAGACCCCCATTCAGCAGGGTAATGTATTAGTGCGCGTGAAACGAGCGTTGTCGGAAAATGTTGCTTTTTTTGGGTATATGTACTAAAAAATTCTTAATACTGCTCAGAAATAGAATATGACGCTAATAAATAGCTCAGAGAACTTGTTTCTAAAACATTTGATAATATGATTAAACCTGAAGAGTTAAGCGAGTCAATCCTATGTTTGCTACTGTTAAATGTGGGCATCACGTGCAGAAAATCCGGTCTGCCAACAACAGACGTTGACGCCAAAAGCATAAAATTCATACTAGTATCGAGTCAAATTCGAGACATATTTACATGTATGTGCACACTGTATTTGATTTACTTTTATAGATCAATAACTTACAAGAATGAAAAAATAAAATAAAAAGACTCGAGAGACGGTTAAAATCAGAGTATCTATGCTCTTAGTTATCTCCAACTCGCACATTTTCATACACAGATCCTACGATCTTCAATGCCTCTGCCCGTCTACGTAACGTACTTTTTGGGACAGTAGGATCGGACAATACACGATCACATACTTCTCTAAGTACACTCTCAACTTCAAGTTTTGAACCTTTCCATAAAGTTTCCAATCCCTTGAATTTTTTTAGAGAAGAAAAAAGGGTAAGTTAATATACAAGCATGAAACTAATTATCATCATCAACAAAACCGCGGTTCCTACTTTGTTGGCGGCCGCTTCCTCTAATCTTGACTTCTCGGCATCATTCACGCCCTTCTTCTCAGCCTCTTGCAACTGAGTGAAAGACTGTTGAAGATCAATTGCTGATTTCAACGTTGAGATGGTTTCTGAGAACACGTGGCCTTTCTCTCTTATTATATGTCCAAATCTTGGTAGGCCAAATATATGATCGCCACCAATGTGTTGTTTGGCTTTCAGAGAATAAGTGAATCCAATAGCATGTAGCAATTCAACGCCGTATGATTCCGTCTTCAATTCATCAGCTTCCTTCTCCATTCGACATTTAAAGTCATGAGCTGCGATCTGAGGATCACTAGCCTTTACATAGTGATCTAGTCTTTCTATAAGCTTGCCTACTAGCTTGTCAATACGCTCCTTTCTAATCTTCTCACGCTCTTCGTCCTGGATATTTTTATTGTTCTCACGACGACGAACATCTCCGTCAGCCGAGCTTGCATTACTTGTTTCATCCATAGAAGCATTTTGTAAAACCTCCTTCATATCTCGTCCAATAGATATTTCACCGATTATATCCACAAAGCGATCACCTCCGAATTGTTGCTTAAAGAATTCTTCGGGATTGACTAAACAGGGCAAAGAATACAGGTCATTAATCCAGTGGCCATGACATACTTGATTCGTTGACGACAGATCGACCAAAATAACCACAACATGGGACGTACCAAAACCACCTTCAGGTTGTATCTCGTTACTTTTTGCTCCATATTCGTTATACTTCCTCCTTAATTCGGGATCCGACAACACTTGGTAAGCTTCTGAGATTTTTTTGAACTGAAGAGAAATTCTATTCAACACTTTTGAACAGGGACGCGTTAATCTCTCCCATAAAAGCGCCTATGTAATGAAGCAGGCGCATAAATAAACACAAAATACCCGTTGTTCGGCATCTGGAGAATTATTCTTATCAGGATGATACTTTAAGGCAAGCTTGTAATATTGTCTCTTAATTTCGCTAATATCCGCTGTCACTGAAACTTCCAACAAATCATAATATTCCGTTTCTAGAGGTTCCCGATCTGTGTAATTAGAGACGAGAGGGAGGGAAAGATCGGAGAAGGTTTATAAAATAGATAAGCATAAAAGTAATAAGGAGACAGCATTCCCAATCGGTAAATGTCGTTGACATAACAGGTATCTCTATACAACAAGTTCGAACCTGAGCCAAATCTCCATTTGTTATTATTTTTCCCCGTTGATGCGGACGACTGTGTTCCTGCACCTTTGACTTCAAATTCGCATATTTTCTGACAAGAGTAACACTGAACAAAGATTTTTGAAGAAGGAAGTGTTGTAGAGGAAAATTCTAATTCATTGTGACATTTTGTACAGGCTTTATGCACGAACTCTGGTCTGCGTGATTGAATTATAGGGCTTCCCATTGCTCGGAGAGAAGAAACTAGCAAAACGGAAGTAACTTACCAAGAATTGTCAAATTTGCGTGCTAATTTACCGCCCTAGGCAACGATCTTCAAAATGACGCATATCCAATCACGAGCATTCTTCGCGTATGATTATAAAACGCGCGACAGGCTGTTTAATTAGATTTGCTTCGTTTCCGCAGCGGATATTTAGTGTGCATGTATCAACCTTACACATCCCTTACGTTACGAGGCTCTCTATTCTTGAACACTTCCCTTCCATGGCCCACGAAACATTAACCGAGTCTTCTCAGATTCTATGAAACGCGTGACATTGCATTATCATGTGATTATGCAGCACGTTTTCGGCTACTGGTGGCTCGCGTCTTAGTCTACCAAAAAAACAACAACTTCCATATATAATTGTGGTGGCTACACCGTCTACCCTCACTATTTCATTCCCGTTGACTGACTGAATTCGATCTCAGGACAATTGCCCCTACGAATCTATAAGATTACTATCTTCTTAATAAACATAACTATGGTTCACTTATATGTGAGAACTCAAGATCGGAAGGAGAGAATAGAATTCGGACTAACGAGACGTGTCGAAGATCTTCGACCCACAGTAGCCAAGTTATTTGGAGAGCATGTATATCCACCCGAAAGGCAACGTCTTATATACCTGGGCAAACAAATGGAAGATGGGTACGCGTTGTTCGATTACAACGTGAAACACGAGAGTACGATACTATTGTTTCAGAAACCGCTTGTCGATCTTGAGTCACTTAGAGAACTGGATGTGAGAGTAGTCATTGATAATGATACCACCAGCACCCCTAACGCGAGCACAGATAATGTGGATAACACCGACGATGCCGTTAATAACGATAATGTCAACAATGATAAGGAGAATCAGGGATCAAGCATAAATCTTCAAAAATCGACTTGTGATGTCCAGGGGAAGACAAGTCTCAAGGCTGCCAGTACTTCTGATGCCAACAAAACAATGGAAGCTGCCGCGGAGGATTATTACTGCACAGCTTGCAAAAATGTTGCAGCCAAGAAATGTAAGGAATGCGGATGCTACGAGTGTGGTGGGAAGGACGATGAACCGCAGACAATCGTCTGCGATGAGTGTCAGTATTACTTCCATCTATACTGCTTGAAACCACCACTGAAAAGCGTACCTGAAGGTGACTGGTATTGCCCTTATTGTTGTCATAATAATGATGATATTATCACCCCTGGTAAAGGCATTAATATTTCTAGTAGGAAAAAGTCAAAGATGCCGTCTGCTACGCAAACCAAACATTGGGGTGGGGGAATGGCATGTGCTGGAGTATCGAAAAAATGCGAGATTGTAGACAAAAACCATCGCGGAAAGATTCCTGGTGTGCCTGTTGGTTGTGCTTGGCTGTATCGAATACACTGTTCCGAGTCTGGCGTACATCGTCCTCCCGTTGGAGGAATTCATGGCAATTCTGATGCTGGGGCAGTATCGGTCGTATTGGCAGGAGGATATCCTGAGGATGTTGATAATGGAGATGAATTTACTTACACCGGCTCCGGTGGACGCGACCTGAAGACGGGGAATAAACGAACAGCTAAGCAGGACAGTGATCAGACGCTCACCCGTGCTAATTTATATTTAGCTCAAACATGCGATACACCTGTGAATGATAAAGTTGGGGCTGTCGCAAAGAATTGGAAGAAGAGCAAGCCAATTAGAGTAGTTCGTAGCTACAAGTTAGCTAAGCATAATCCCAAGTATGCTCCAAAGGAAGGGCATAGATATGATGGATTGTACAAGGTAGTTAAATATTGGCCCGAGAAGGGAGTTGCTGGATATAGGGTTTGGAGATTCCTCTTGCGTAGAGACGACGATGAGCCCGCTCCATGGACCGAAGAAGGCCAGCGATATATAGAACAGCTTGGACTACAGACATATGTCTCAAGGGGAGCCGGAGATAAAAGGAAAACGGATGCTGATGGGACGAGTGATAACGAACTGTCTCCGAGGAAGAAGGCATTAATACGTACATATAAACCATCTGATAAGATATTAGCACTGATTGAGAAGGATAATCGTAACGCGAGGGCCTGGAAGAGTTTGTTACGGATCAATGTTATAAACGAAGCCGAATTTCTCGCGCGAATAATGGAGGAATTTAAGTGTAATGTGTGCCAGGATCTGGTCCAAAATCCTGTGACCACTCCGTGTTCGCACAATGCTTGCAAGGAGTGCCTAATTAAAGCAATTATTTCATACGATTCAAAGTGCCCAACATGTAGAGAGAGCTTGAGTGAGAAAAATGATAACAATGTATATTACGAGCCTAAATTAGAAGTAAATAATGATCTTGTAGCTGTATTTAGAGAACTTATTCCTGCGTATAAAGCTTCCAGTAAGAAGAAGAAGACATCTAAATCCAGAAAATGAATGATGCAAATCATCCCGCATAGTATAAAAGTGAGGGTAAGAACAAAAAGCGGGCATAAAAATTGAAGATGTAAAAATGATGATATGGAAGCAATAAAAATAAGTGTTTTGATGTGCACCAATAATGGTTTTATAATGACATTGACATTAGTAGTATGGATGACTTACGTATCTTAATGTACATAGTAATTACAACGTCACGTTGGCATAATATTGATTTGTATTCAATAATAAACACGACTGGGCTTTGATTCATATCATTTCATCATTTATTACAATGAAGGCCGATTTAATATAAAAACAGGATGCCACTCATGTCCTACTGTGTCATGCTGATTGAGAAATAATAGCACAAAGTTAAATGACTGAATTCTGCTGACCCTTATCATTGAGCGTGTAGTTGTCCCAAATCACCGATCCAATTTATAAGTAATGACTGCACTGCATGCATGAGTTCTCTTAAATTTATATAAAATGTGAATATAAAATAACATATAAAAGAATGATGAGAAAATAATGACTGTCTAATGCTTCTGTAATTGATCGGATATATGTGATGATTAAGGCTGTTCCGTCGTCACTTCACTCGGCTCTTCCTCCCTGGGGGCATCAGCCTTCTCGTCTAAAACAGGAAATAAACAACATGATTAGCAACGCACAAAATATGCGATAAATTAATCCACATCATTGCCAAATTACACAAAAATAATCATAGCATATACGTACTGCTATCTTGAATATCAGATGTCCACAATGTCAAGTTATCCCTCAGCAATTGCATAATTAATGTTGAATCTTTATAGCTTTCTTCGCTGAGGGTATCTAGTTCCGCAATCGCATCGTCAAACGCTTGTTTAGCAAGATGGCAGGCATTATCGGGCGAGTTGTGAATTTCGTAATAGAATACAGAAAAGTTGAGAGCCAGGCCAAGACGAATAGGATGAGTGGGCGCAAGCTCGGTCACCGCGATTTCGCTGGCAGCCTTGTAAGCCTCCAGAGACTTGTCAGCAGATTCACCACGTTTGTCACCCGTCGCAAATTCGGCAAGATATCGATGATAGTCGCCTTTCCTACAATATATAGGATCAAAGTAAGTAATGTAGCAAGCTAAAAATGGTTAACACACATGATGACGTATTCATCCGAATAAACTAACATCTTGTGGTAGAACACTTTGGATTCGCCAGTAGCAGCAGACGGAATAAGATGCTTGTCAAGGACTTGAAGAATGTCTTCACATATCTTGGACAATTCGTTCTCAATCTTTGTTCTATACTCCTTGATAAAGCCAACTTGCAGTGAGTTGCCCTTCGTTTCCTCTTTCTGCTCGATTGAAGACACGATACGCCACGAAGCACGTCGGGCACCAATGACATTCTTGTAAGCAACGGAGAGAAGGTTGCGCTCTTCAACAGTGAGTTCTTGGTCTGATGAAGCAACTTGTTTCATATACTCGACCATTTCTATTTATGGCAAGGAACAAAAAAAAGATAATCATCATTAGTAAATAAGATGAAACGATAAATGTTTACAGATGATACGTTCTTTAGAACGAACTAGTGTTCTATCAACTATTCATTAGCTCTATCCTAATCATTTGTTATTTCGCCGATGATTTTATTATACTCTGCGAAAGATCACAAGTTAATCACCGTCTAGACTAGGGCTTTGCTCTCTTCTCCTAAGCCAGTTAATAACATTAAAGATAACAATGATTTCAAGAAAAGGCATATTGCAAAGTCCTGTCATCTTTGTCATATATAACGTTGCCGTACGTGAATAGTGTATAAACGTTGCTATAGGTCTAATATGGTTCATCCCCCTTTACCTTCATAACGCTCAGCCTGTTCGGCAAGCTTGGCGAGGTAGACAGAGTCTTCACGCGATTGAGCTTGAGCCATTATGATATGTTCTATGGTAAACTTTATTTGTATATATGAATTGGGGAAGTGTATGAAAGTGCGGTATATAAAAATGCAAAAAAAATTGGTTTATATCGTTAAATTATTTAAGAGTAAGAACGTCAAACGAATGCGCTCCTTTGTCTACTATTAAAACAGATGGATGGGTCAGCGGAGTAAACTCGGGTGAAAGGGCGAATCTGGTAAAGTTTGGAGCCTGTGCACCAAAGGAACTTGAGCTCGCGCAATTATGATTGCATCATTCCCCTGTTGATGTCATACAAATATCTCTGTCACACTCTTTCATGCAAAATGAGAAACGCCACTCTTGCAAACGTATGACGCCACAAGAAATTCAGGGGTTTGGTCCTTTTGGGTTTTGAAAGGGTAAATATAAACTAATTGTCATTCAAACAGCTTGCATCGGACTGGTTCCACGGCCATCGATCGAACTTATCTCATCTAAATATAAAGTCCTTCGGATAGATAATTATTCATGTCAGATGATTATTAATAAAAAGGGATTTCATTAAAGATGGGCGATGAATACTAAAAAAGTTTATTGTTAGACAGCTGATAGTGTATTGTTGCAACCGTACTTGATTTGACAACGATGGTATGGTATCATTTTATGCTAATTCTATTTGTGGGGGAAGCAGGCATCCCTCTGATCGTATTTCTATCAGCATGCCTCAGACAGATCTCTTCTAGTTGAGATTCTTATTGCTGCCAGGTTTCTCGTTCGGTAAACATTTTACTGGGTATCAAAGTCTAGTATTAATGTAATTGTATTTTGTTACCGGCAACTAGAATCCTTTAATTACTAGTACCTCTGTCTAGATGATTTCTTGAATGTTTCGTGTTCCCAGAGGGTTCCATCCCTTAAGTGAAAATCTTCGCTGATCATCGTCCACATAAACCAAGCCAAACTTACCATCCTAAGCAGTTGACGTTGGTTCGAATTGTGAGAACCCTTTATCCTGAGTTCTTTAACACATTCCCACGTATTTAATTGGTTTCTCATCCCGTTTATAATGAGTAGAATTTGTTGGGGAATACCAGCGCGAGAGATCACTTCCACGAAAATGATTATTATATATTACTCGGCTCTGAATTGTGTTTCTTAAAGATTCTCATCTGCTTTCTTCGAAGCTCACTTCAGGATACCTGCACGGCTCCTTCACAGCCAGAGAACAATTATCTATTCAAGTTACATGACTCCCATGTATACTAGAACTTCGGGTTATATCTATTTCATTTAATCGTGTCTCATTCACGAACGCGTTTAGTCTGTGAGAGAGAACATACCATAATGAAGTTTTGCAAGTCATGTATTCAGAAAAGTATGGTGTATGACGAAACAAAAATGATAACTTCTTACAAAACGCGCAAAGTTCGCCAAGTTTGTAAACGATTCGTGTATATTATTACACAGTCAATCTGGTTATAACAGATTCAACGGAGACGAACAAAGTCTTCGTCCAGAAATTCCTTATAACGAAGATTATAATCAATTTCTAATGGATACAAAGTCTTATTTTATCAAGACAATAAATAGAAATATTATGACTTCGCTGAAACTGAGAACAAATACATCAATTAGAAGAACTCCTGTCTTATACATGGGAGGCAATCATTTCATCGACAAATATTTACCAACATTATTTCGAAGTTATCCTTTTTTAGTAGTTAATTGTCGGTGAAATGTACTGTCGGTGAAATGATTGTCGATGAAATAATACGGACCCCTTATACATTTAGCATTAAACTATAAAATCGAAACACTGTTCTGAGTTCGTTTTTGGAGGAGACTTTTTTTTATTATTATGTTAAAACGAATAAAAAACTATTCTTCTGATTAAAAACTTTCGGCGTCTAATGAATATTAAATACAATTTTGAGTTTGCATATAACAATTTGCTTATTCTTGAAAACGCGAAAAATCGATCTTCGTCGCTATCATTATTAATCAACAACCGATAACTCAACAACCAAGAATCCTATGTTCACGGAATTTATTTATTGATTGTAGTAATGTCAATACATGATATTAAGTACGATTATTATGACACAAGTATACGTCTCAAGGTTGCTAGAACATATTTGAGCAATTATTATCTACACATGTAAATTATTGATAAGCCAGCCCAGACAGATCCTTGAATAAACGCGGACGTTGGTGACAATAAATAGCAGGGAAATAGGAAATACCCAATTCCATTGTATCCATCGTAGACGCGAATTTATTAACAGAGACTGGGAACTTCGTATTGATAATGCGTCCCAATCCTACAGATAAAATACATGACTGTTAGTAGAACATTGTAGTGATTATGTTCAGATCCTGGAATTATTAGTTATATCGCGAGATTACATTATATCGAGCCCAATTTTATTATAACTGACTTGGTTCCGGGGAAAAGCATCATGTTAGGCCAACTTCATCTTATCGGGGGATCATTATATTGAGAGTGACTGTGTAATTAGCAATAGAAATAGAACCAAATTAGTTATAGATATTTTCGTAAATGTGGGAGAGCAAAGAAATAACTTGATGCTGGGACGGCCTAAGTCCGCGTACTCCCTCCCTCTTTTAACCTTATCTAAGTTGTGATATGTCATTTAAATTCGCTTTCCTTTTTTATTGCTTCGGATTTCGGAATCTATCGTGTACATAGTCACTCTCGATAAGTCGGACTCATCGACTTATCGAGTTTCATATATTTTATATTGAAAAATGTACTTTTATTTAAATATAAGTAATAGGCAATATCAACTATTATATGCGAATTCATTTTTTACAAAAAACATCCAACGTGAGCTGCTTTAGAGAAGCAGTTTGATTTCTTCCAATTTGAAGCTGTAGTAGTAGGTCTTTCATTCCTGAGATTACTGATACATTTACTTTTACGTCAGAATGTTGTTGTAAATAGTTGAAAGAAGCTATATTTGATATTGTTATGGATTCTTCTTTCCCTTCCTCTTCCTCTGCACTGCAGCAATTATATCTGCTTTATCAATCATACCAGCTACTTATATCCTAGTATTAATGTTAATGTAATCAATATCGTCAACATTCATTTAATGCATAAGCGATTG